GCGGTGCAGCCTGTAGGGGGGCGCTGTACGTAGAACAAAGACTGTATTATATAATGTAATGAGCGGTGCTGCCTGTAGGGGGCGCTGTACGTAGAACAAAAACTATATTATATAATGTAATGAGTGGTGCTGCCTATAGGGGGCGCTGTACATAGAACAAAGACTGTATTACATAATGTAATGAGTGGTGCTGCCTGTAGGGGGCGCTGTACATAGACCAAAGACTGTATTACATAATGTAATGAGTGGTGCTGGCTGTAGGGGATTGTAGGTTACGGTTTGTTTGTTTTTGGGTTTCATTGTTTTATTTTTTAGGAAAAATTTCTATTTATTTTATCAGTGATTGTAAGGATGCTGCTCTCTCTCTCTCTCTCTCTCTCTCTCTCTTTCTCTCTCTCTCTGTCCGTCTGTCTCTTTCAGTCTGTCTGTCTCTCTCTGTCTCTCTGTCTCTCTGTCTCTCAATTCAATTCAATGAGTTTTCTTGGCATGAACAAAAACATGTTATCATAGCCTAAATGAATCCACCCCCCCAGTCATATTAATACTCTCCTGGACCGTACTCTGATTTTATATCTGAATTCTCAGAGTTTTTATCAAGTTTAGTCCTTAAATCAGATAAAGTAATTATTGTAGGTGATTTTAATATTCATGTGGATGTTGACAATGACAGCCTTAGTAACGCATTTATATCATTAATAGACTCAATTGGCTTCTGTCAGAGTGTAAATAAACCAACTCATTGTTTTAATCACACTCTTGACCTTGTTCTATCATATGGCATTGATATTGAACATTTAATAGTTTTCCCACATAATCCTTTCCTATCTGACCATTATTTAATAACTTTTGAATTCATACTATAAGATCATAAGCCATTAGGCAAAACTTCCTACAGCAGATGTCTATCTGACAGTGCTGTAGCTAAATTTAAGGAGGAGATTCCATCAGTGTTTAATTCAATGCCATGTCTGAATATAACATATAATAGTCCTATAATAGCTTTAGTCCCTCCGAAATTGATAATCTTGTTGATATTGCTGCAGGCTCACTACGAAGAACATTAGACTCTATCGCTCCTATAAAAAGGAAATTATTAAAACATAGGAAACTAGCACCGTGGTACAACCACCAAACCCACCAGTTAAAGCAAAAAGCTAGGAAATCTGAAAGGAAATGGCGCTCTTCCAAATTATCAGAATATCGCTCAATTTGGCAAGATAATCTTAAAACCTATAGAAAGGCCCTCCGTAATGACAGAGGAGCCTATTACTCAGCACTAACAGAAGAAAATAAGAACAACCCCAAGTTCCTCTTCAGCACTGTAGCCAGGCTGATACAATTATTACTATTAGAGAGAAAATTAACCACCAACTGCCATCAATAGCTATCAGTGGCTCTCCAATTTCAGGAACTTTAACTAATGTAAACTCAGATATATATTTAGACTGTTTTTCTGCTATTGATCTTCATCAGTTAATTTCAATAATTTCTACATCGAAGCCATCAACCTGTCTGTTAGACCCGATCCCAACTAGACTGCTTAAAGAAGTTGTACCCTTAATTGTCACTTCTTTAGTGGATATGATTAATCTTTCTTTATTATCAGGATATGTACCACAGTCCTTTAAAGTAGCTGTAATTAAACCCCTTCTTAAAAAGCCCACTCTTGACCCAGGGGTTTTAGCCAATTATAGACCGATTTCAAACCTCCCCTTCCTCTCTAAGATTCTGGAGAAAGTAGTCGCCAAAGAGTTGTGTGACTTTCTACATAACAATAGTTTATTTGAGGATTTTCAGTCAGGATTTAGAGTTCATCACAGCACAGAGACAGCTCTGGTTAAAGTTAATAATGACCTTTTGATTGCTTCTGACAATGGACTTGTCTCTGTACTTGTATTATTAGATCTTAGTGCTGCATTTCACACCATTGACCATGGTATTCTTTTACAGAGACTTGAGCATCAAATTGGTATTAAAGGAACCGCACTAAGCTGGTTTAAGTCATACTTATCAGCGCGTTCTCAGTTTGTACATGTTAACGATGAATCTTCAATAAATAATACAGTTAGTCATGGAGTTCAACAAGGTTTTGTACTTGGACCAATACTTTTTACTTTATATATGCTCCCTTTAGGCAACATTATTAGGAATCACTCCATTAACTTTCACTGGTATGCAGATGATACGCAGTTATATCTATCGATCAAGCCCGATGAAATTAATCAATTATCTAAATTACAAACATGTCTTAAGGACATAAAATCCTGGATGAGCTGCAATTTTCTGATGTTAAACTCAGAAAAAAACAAAATTCTTGTACTTGGCCCTAAAAACCTCCGAGACTCACTGTCTAAAGATATAGTTACTCTAGATGGCATTACCTTGGCCTCTAGCACCACTGTCAGGAATCTTGGAGTTATCTTTGATCAGGATTTGTCATTTAATTCCCACATGAAGCCGACCTCTAGGACTGCCTTCTTTCATTTACGTAATATTACAAAAATTAGACACATCCTATCACAGACAGATGCAGAAAAACTAATCCATGCATTTGTTACTTCAAGGCTGGATTACTGCAACTCTTTATTATCGGGTTGCCCCAATAACTCCATTAAAACACTCCAATTAATTCAAAATGCTGCAGCACAAGTACTGACAGGAACTAGAAAAAGAAATCACATCTCTCCTGTACTAGCTTCTCTGCACTGGCTCCCTGTAAAATGTAGAATAGAATTTAAAATCCTCCTCCTGTCCTATAAAGCTCTTCATGGTCAGGCCCCTTCATATCTTAAAGAGCTCATAGTACCCTATTACCCCACTAGAACACTACGTTCTCTGAATGCTGGGCTACTTGTGGTTCCTATAATCTCAAAAAGTAGAACAGGAGCCAGAGCCTTCAGTTACCAAGCTCCTCTCCTGTGGAACCAGCTTCCAGTTGTGGTTCGGGAGGCAGACACCCTCACCACATTCAAGAGTAGGCTTAAGACAGTCCTCTTTGATAAAGCTTATAGTTAGGGCTGGATCAGGTGAGTCCTGAACCATCCCTTAGTTATGCTGCTATAGGCCTAGACTATTGGGGGATTTCCCATGATGCACTGAGCTCCTCTCTTCCTCTCTCTCTCTTTCTGCACTCATTTATGTCCCATTAATGCAGTGGTTCTCAATTATTTTCTGTCATGCCCCCTCTAGAAGACAGAAAGTATTTCACGCCCCCCCTGAATTTTAATACTATTGAGAAACTGATAATATTTATTTATTTATTTGTACAAACCACTGTTTGAGTTGCTAGCACCAGCATTCTGCATACAATCACCTGATTATCAAAATGGATTAATAAAATGAGCTGAGATAACATCTGCAACAACTAAAAACAATTTCCAAGTTCAGTTTATTAACTCAGTTTGTAACATTTAAACAAGACTGCTCAGTCTGTGTGATTCTCAAAACAGAGAAGTGCAAATGATTAACTGGGATGTGCATTTTTATAGACTTAACACAATAACATTCAAAACTTTTTTAAACTGTAAACATTGGTCACTTGTCAGCTTCATAAGCTTATTCCTTTTCAAAAAGGTATATGACTTTTTAACATTTGTTTTTTTTGTTTTTGTGCAAAATATGCAACATTATTACTTATATTTAATGTTTATCTGTTAGATGTTCTGTGAGTTGTTTTTGGAGGTCGTCTGAAATGTCAGATATACGTCTCCCGATCGTGTCATTGGAGAGAGGGACAGTATTCAGTGTCTCATTCCTCACCTATGATTGTGACCATGTCCAATGCTGCTGGAGTATTAGCTCCTCTGCTATTGTGTGATGGTTTTTTGCACCTTGCGATGTGGCAGGGTTTGTACGAGGCTAACGGTGCGTTTTTATTTACTGATGCCGCGCTAACAAAATTACCGGCCTGTTGGCGATACTCATTGAGCTTTCGATGAAAAAGGTCCAGTGGCTTATTGACATAACTGGGGTGTAAGGTCTCCAATTGCCGTCTTAATTTGTTTGGTTTCATGCTGTCCGCTGCCAGAGTTTTTAAACATAAAACACACACAGGTCTTTCCTCATTTCCGACCGTATTCACGGTAAACCCAGGGCTATGTAGGCTTCGTCATATTTCCTGGTCTTATTAGGTTTATGCCAGATACAATCACTTACTGTTCTTGCCTCTGACGCCTCCTCCATTTTTGTTTTTACTCCTGTCAAAAACTTCTCCATCTCTCCTCCTCCTTTCGCGCCCCCCCGACACCTCACTGTGCCCCCCCAGGGGGGCGCGCCCCACTATTTGAGAAGTACTGCATTAATGCATGTTACTAACTTCACTTCTTCCCCGGAGTTCTTGTGCTGTCTCGTCTCGTAGGTTCTCATGGATCCTGGTGAAGCCTCCTGCCATGGTCCTGCTTGACTACAATTGCCAATATCACTGATATTAGTGTTATTAATATTATTGCTATTATTATAGCTATGGTTACTGTTGTTGCTGTTGTCACTGCTCATTGTCCCCCATCGTTGCTGTTGTCATGTTCATTATCATCAGTCACTACTATTAGTGTAGTTGTTGCTACTGTTGTTGCTGTGCACCTGTCTGTCTGTCTGTCTATCTGTCTGTCTGTCTCTCTCTCTCTCTCTCTCTTTCACCCCAACTGGTCGAGACAGACGACCACCCACCTAGAGCCGAAGGATCTGTCCTAGGTTTCTGCCTCTTAACAGGCAGTTTTTCCTTGCCCTTGTCACCAAGGTCTTGCTCATGGTGGTACTGTTGGGTCTCTGTAATTAATGTTATAAGGAGTTCGATCTACACCTGCTGTATTTGGAAAGTGTCCTGAGATAACTTCTGTTATGAATTGGCGCCATACAAATAAAATTGAATTGAACTGAATTGAATCACCAAAGCAATTAACAATAGTCTCTCTCTGTGTCTGTTTCTCTCTCTGTCTCTCTCTCTCTCTCTCTGTCTGCCTGTCTGTCTGTCTGTCTGTCTCTCTCTGTCTCACCTGTGACAGGTAAAGAGGAGCTGCCATGTTGGCCTGCTCCATTCCCCCATCACTCCTCTTCCTCCTGCTCTTACCCCCTCCTTCTTACCCAGCTGATGTCATTGCGACCTCTGACCCCTCTGTGCGATGGGTGGAGCTACACGGCGCCCCCCTGTCTCACCTGGTGCTGTACCCGGGGCTAGGCCACCTGTATGTGGGTGGGGTTGACCATCTGTACCAACTGACCTCTGACCTGGAAGTGACGTCACATGTCAAGACCGGCCCTCACCTGGACTCCCCAGACTGCCTCCCACCGATCGTGCCACAGGACTGCCCCTCGGCCACGCTCACTCACAACCACAACAAACTGCTGCTGCTGGAGGCGGGGCAGGGGGCAGAGCCAGTGAGTCTGATTGTCTGTGGGTCACTCTACCAGGGTATCTGTGACAAGAGGTAATGCCGTCTGTGTACCTGAACCTGCACCTTTACCTGTACTTGTACCTGTGTTATGTTCTGTTTGATTTACTGACACTCACAGTGGAGACAGCAGCATCATGCAAGACAAAATTCTGTGGGTGCCGATTAGAGCGGCATGGGGGTCCTTCTCTAGTAATGAGGCACGTTTCTGACACACATATATTCAAAGACTCAAACTTTTTATTTGAGTAAATATTGTATATTTTTTTTAGAGATTTTAATTTCAGTTATTTGTGCTGTTCATTCAACTCTACACTGCTACTAAATCTTATGTGTTTAACGGGGATAGATTCACATAGAAAGATTACTATAGATTAATTTACAGCACGTAGATATTAGGGATGGGAATCGAGAACCGGTTCTTCTTCAGAACCGGTGCCCAGTGAATCGATTCCTTGGAACCGCTAGCGTGCCTGCTTAACGATTCCGCTTATTGCAAATGCGTGATGACACACGCGCTGAGTTGTTTTGGTTCAGAACGCAGCGAACATGGTATCGATGCAGAACCGCTCTAAAGTTTGGTTACATATCACGTGAAAAGACGACAATACGGTCACTTGCAACACTTCCATTTCATCAAAGGGGGGAAATACCTCCAATATGCAGAAACATTTGGCCACACAGCATGCAATTCATTTGCAGGACTGTCGCGTGTTTGATACACTACTATCTAGCGACACAAGTGAGTCAAGCCGCAGCGGAGCTAACGGGACGCCATCTGTTATCAATGCCGAAGGTAACTTTAAATGACATGATCATTTTTCTGCACAAAAATTATTATACTTATTATACTAAAAATGTGTGTCAAAATAAGTAATTTCATTGGTTACATTTTGTGTCCTGACCTATCAACACATGGCTAATTTTAATATTCAAATGATCCATGTGTTGATTCCCACAACACACACTCACCACCAGGCTGTCAATCAAGCTCTCAGTGACAGAGAATGTAATGTTAGCCTTTATCTATCCAGATAAAAACATTAAGAACAGTTTCTGTATGATGTTTATTAGACCTATGTAATCAGAATTGGAAAGGCACGTTGTCATGAGCTGTATCTTGTATATTTATTATTATTTATCACCTAGAGTAACTATATCTTTTGACAGTGAGTCTCTGAGGTTTTTGGGGCCAAGAACAAGAATTTCGTTTTTTTCTGAGTTTAACATCAGAAAATTGCAGCTCATCCAGGATTTTATGTCCTTAAGACATGTTTGTAATTTAGATAATTGATTAATTTCATCGGGCTTGATCGATAGATATAACTGCGTATCATCTGCATAACAGTGAAAGTTAATGGAGTGATTCCTAATAATGTTGCCTAAAGGGAGCATATATAAAGTAAATAGTATTGGTCCAAGTACAAAACCTTGTAGAACTCCATGACTAACTGTATTATTTATTGAAAATTCATTGTTAACATGTACAAACTGTGAACGATCTGATAAATATGACTTAAACCAGCTTAGTGCGGTTCCTTTAATGCCAATTTGATGCTCAAGTCTCTGTAAAAGAATATTATGGTCAATGGTGTCAAATGCAGCACTAAGATCTAATAATACAAGTACAGAGACAAGTCCATTGTCAGAAGCAATCAGAAGGTCATTATTAACTTTAACCAATTCAATTCAATTCAATTCAATTTTATTTGTATAGCGCACTTTAAAGGTCTGTGGTACATATCCTGATAATAAAGAAAGATTAATCATATCCAGTAAAGAAGTGCCAATTAAGGGAACAACTTCTTTAAGCAGCCTAGTTGGGATCGGGTCTAATAGACAGGTTGATGGCTTCGATGAAGAAATGATTGAAGTTAACTGATGAAGATTGATAGCAGAAAATCAAATATATCTGAGTTTACATTAGTAAAAGTCCCTGAACTTGGAGAGCCACTGATAACTGTTGATGGCAGTTGATGATTAATTTTCTCTCTAATAGTAATAATTTTATTATAAAAGAAGCTCATAAAGTCGTTGCTACTTAAGTGTATGGGGATATGTGGCTCAATAGAGCTGTGACTCTCTGTCAGCCTGGCTACAGTGCTGAAGAGGAACCTAGGGTTATTCTTATTTTCTTCTATTAGTGCTGAGTAATAGGCTCCTCTGGCATTACGGAGGGCCTTTCTATAAGTTTTAAGATTATCTAACCAAATTGAGCGATATTCTGATAATTTGGAAGAGTGCCATTATCTTTCAGATTTCCTAGCTATTTGTTTTAACTGGCGGGTTTGGTGGTTATACCACGGTGCTAGTCTCCTATGTTTTAATAATTTCCTTTTTATAGGAGCGATAGAGTCTAATGTTGATCGTAGTGAGCCTGCAGCACTATCGACAAGATTATCAATTTCCGAGGGACTAAAGTTGTTATAGGACTCTGTTAAATTTAGACATGGCATTGAATTAAACACTGATGGAATCTCCTCCTTAAATTTAGCTACAGCACTGTCAGATAGACATCTGCTGTAGGAAGTTTTGCCTAATGGCTTATAATCTAGTAGTATGAATTCAAAAGTTATTAAATAATGGTCAGATAGGAAAGGATTATGTGGGAAGACTATTAAATGTTCAATATCAATGCCATATGGTTGAACAAGGTCAAGAGTGTGATTAAAACAATGAGTTTGTTTATTTACACTCTGACAGAAGCCAATTGAGTCTATTAATGATATAAATGCGTTACTAAGGCTGTCATTGTTAACATCCACATGAATATTAAAATCACCTACAATAATTACTTTATCTGATTTAAGGACCAAACTTGATTAAAACTCAGAGAATTCAGATATAAAATCAGAGTACGGTCCAGGAGCGCGGTACACTATAACAAATAGAACTGGCTGTTTTCCAGTTTGGGTGAGAAAGACTAAGAACAAGGCTTTCAAATGAATTATAATTTAGTTTAGGTTCAGGGTCCATTAAAACGCTCAAATCATATATGGCTGCCACTCCACCTCCTCGGCCGGTGCCTCGAGGAATGTGAGTATTAATATGACTGGGAGGGTGGATTCATTAAGGCTAATATACTCCTCGTATTATCTGCTTGCGCGTCCCCGTGTATGCAAAGTGTGCTCCTTTTTGACGTGAAGGAAATGGCCACCCTATTTCAGTCTGTGTTTTTAGTTTTTATGGCACATAATGGCAGTTGGGCTTAAAAAGCCAAACATTTATTTTTTTGTCTGGGCCAATTCATGTGAAAATTAACAATTTCCTAATCCTAAGGCACTCTTGATAATCTTTCAAGGCACACACTAGCGTGCCATGGCATACTAGTTGAGAAACACTGCCCTAGGCTATGGGTCCCTGGACTTTACTTTGAGAAGTAGCTCACCTACTGTTAGGTTTGTTCTGAGGTTGCTACACATAATTTGTGTATACTCTGTGCTGTGTCTTCTGATCAGATATTAAAGCGAGTTAATACAAACAAACAAATTTGTACTTATTCCCTCACCCAATGAGAATCGATAAAAGAATCGATAAGGAATCGGATCGATAACCAATATCGATAATGGAATCGGAATCGTTAAATTCTTATCAATTCCCATCCCTAGTAGATATGGATATGTGCACAGTCCTCACGCTGCATTTTATTATTCAGACGATGCAAAATATTAAACTGGGGTTGCAATGCATCATTTTGCACCCCTATAGAACCTGGCCTGATTAATAATTATCATAACCATATATTATAAAACTAGTAATAAAAATCTATGTATTAAATATATACCAACATTTTTATCAAACCTCTAATGAACAAAATCATTTGGATCAGTTTCAATTGTCACATGAAGATTTCTGAAGAACCCAGATTTGTGTCGAATCATATCGTTGAAAATAAAGAGACTGTTCAAGAAAACTTAAACTAATATCAAATATCAAGTTAGCCCAATAGCATCACATTATCTAGATAACATCATGTTAGCCTGTCAGCTTAATGTTAGCATCATGTTACTTTGTTAGCATCATATTAGCCTGTTAGCATGATGTTAGCCTGTTAGCATGTTGTTAACATGGACCTGTTTTTTTGCTCCTGCAGGAGTCTGACCAACATCTCTCAGCTCATCTATCAGACCTCCAACCCCGTCGACACTCAGTATGTCGCCGCCAATGACCCTCGAGTCTCCACTGTCGCCGTGGTGATAACCACAGAGAACAAACAGGAAGGGGGCGGGGCTGGTGGCATCATGCGATTGATGTTAGTTGGTCGAGGCTACACCAGTAAAGGCCCCGGTGATATCCCACCAATCACAACGCGGCGTCTGTTCCCGGTGGTCCCGTCTCGCCAGGCGTTCTCTCAGGAGGAGGAGCTGGGGAAACTCGTTGTAGGAAGTTACTCAGAGTACAACAACCACTTTGTGAAGGCCGTCACCCATGGCAACCACGTCTACTTCCTGTTCTCGCGGCGGCACAAGAAGGAGTACCAGACCTATGCCTCCCGGCTCTGCACCTCTGACCGCAGCTTCTACTCGTACGTGGAGGTGCCGCTGAAGTGCAACGGTGGGTACAACCTGGCTCAGGGAGCGTGGTTAGGAAACCACTCAGGTAAACCTGCACTGTTCATCATCATGGCGGCAGGACAAGCTTCCACACCTGTACCGACTGATCGCTCAGCGCTCTGTGTTTATGGGATGGCAGACCTTGACGACAAGCTTCAGAGAGCGCAGGAAGCGTGTTATACAAACGGAGGAATAGGCCCCAGTCGAAAGGAAGAGGCATACATTGAATATGCTGTGTCATCAAAATGTCTGACATTACCAAAGGTAAACACTCACACACATATTAAACTTTCTATACTCTCATTATACTGTTGTCAACTGTGCCACCAGTGGCCGTGCAGTGAACTGCAGTCACTGTCCTGTTGCTTGTAGTGTGTAGACTGAACGCTGGAAATTAAATTACAATCATATTTAGAACTTTAATATTTGCATTTAAAGAAGAAAAATGTGTGTGATTGCTGCATCTGCTGCTGCCACCACAACTTCTGAAAGAGTCCCAGCAGGAACTGTTCCTGATTCCTGAGCTGGGGATCCAACCACCAAACTTCTTATTAATGGACAACCTGCTCTAACTCCTGAACCACAGCCGACATGTTCAAGAGACATTGGTCCAAAAGACAAAAAAAAGTCAATATTAAAAATATCATTGTTATATTTTACATGAATCAAATGGACAGTGTAGATCTCTGACCTGTATCTACAGCACTGACCTATTCCCTGTATCTACAACATTGACCAATGCTCTGTATCCACAACACTGACCTCTGCCCTGTATCTACAGCACTGACCTATTCCCTGTATCTACAACATTTACCAATGCTCTGTATCCACAACACTGACCTCTGCCCTGTATCTTCAGCAATGATGGCTTCCCTGTATCTACAGCACTAACCTCATTGTACTCTTCCTTGTACTCCCCCTTGTACTCTTCCTTGTACTCCTCCTTGTACTCCCCCTTCTACTACTCCTTGTACACCTCCTTGTACTCCTCCTTGTCCTTGTACTCCTCCTTGTACACCTCCTTGTACTCCTTGTACTCCCCCTTGTACTCCTCCTTGTACTCCTCCTTGTACTCCTCCTGACATATAGAAGCCTTAGCTTTAATCTTCATTAAATTATCAAATGATTGTTCCACTGTTACATGAGAAAAACTCAATCACATCATCGTCAATGAGAGTTGATAGATGATTCAATTCCATTTAGTTTTATTTGTATAGCCTCGATTCATAACAGACACTTTTCAAATAGAGCAAGTCTACACCGTACTCCTTATAACATTAAGGATTAATTAATGACATTGATTTATCACTGCACTCAGTCAGCAGCCAAGTGGGACATCTGATGACATCACAGTTTACATCTGATGTCATCATAGATTAGCAGCTGGTTCGCTAAGAACCTGTCGATGGCCACATCTGTCTCACTGCTGACCTTAATACTGTGTGTGTGTGTGTGAGTGGATTAGAGATTTTATCTTCAGCAGCTGGATTTATCATCAGACAGCTGTCACTCAAAACACACAGCTGGTTCAACTGATCTGACCCACATATAACACACACACACACACACTGCGGAGGACATTACATAAACTTATTTCACTCTAAAGTTCAATGATTTTTGTCCCCATAAGGAAGGCGAATCCCCACAACATAGATAAACACATATTAAATTGCAATAGAAGTTTATAGAAATAAAAAAATACTGAACATGCTGATAGTAAAAAGATTTCAGTTTGTGACGTTCAGAAAGAATAAAATATAAGCTAACTTAATTTATCTGTTAACATTACCATGTCTGTCTGTCTCTCTCCATAAGGACTCTGTCTCAGAGTACCCCTGTGGGGGGGAACACACCCCAAACCCCATCGCCAGTGCTGTGCCGCTCGAGGCCACGCCCACCTTCACCTCGACCATCCAGCTGACTGCTGTCACCACGGCAACAGAAGCGGGACACACCATTGCCTTCCTGGGAGACAGAGAGGGACGACTGCACAAGGTAGTACACAGTATATACTGTATTTAAACCACGGCCTGGGGGAACTCTGATTGGCTGCTGATGTAAGACACCTATTAATTAGTCCCAGTGAAACTGTTCACTGTTCTAAATTAATGAAAACGTGAATATCTGATCAATACATGTGACAGTACTGGTCGAGCCAGACGACCACCCACCTAGAGTCGGGGTCTGTCCAAGGTTTCTGCCTCTTAAAAGGAAGTTTTTCCTTGCTGCTGTCTCCAAGGTCTTGCTCATGGTGGGAACTGTTGGGTCTCTGTAAATAATGTTATAAGGAGTTCGGTCTAGACCAGGGGTGGGCAATTAATTTTAACCAACAATAACTTGAACTTAATTCTGCTCAATATTAATTTTCTCCCATTTAAAAAGCAGTAAATTATATATTTTGATTAGCTGGGTATCAGAAGAATAAGGATGTAAATATTTATATAAATATATAAAATTGTCGTGTAGGTCAAATAGGAAAATATTCCTATAGAAGTCATGAGTAGTAAAAACAAAAACAATAATTACATCAGTGTTTCATTTTATTTTTAACATGTTAATCTTCACAAATACTGAGAAGGTGTTTTGCAGTATGTTAAAGATAAGCATTTGGTCAACTTTATACAAAAAGTGCTTTTAATGTTTTTCAGTTCATTTTACCTGTTCAGTGGGAAAAATCCAGTCTGTCTTGGGCTTGAACAAGTGCATTGAAATGTGGCTGAATGTCTGAGGTGGATATGTGAGGGACAGCTGAGAGGTCATCATCAGTGATGGAGAATCTGTATCTGAATTTGTTGAACATCATCATTGAGAATGTTTTTTTGGGGCTTTTTATTGCTTTTATGATAGTGACAGCTGAAGATAGACGGAAAGGGGGGCAGAGACAGGGGATGACACGCAGCAAAGGGCCGCAGGTCGGTACATGGGACGCCAGCTCTACCCACTGAGCTAACCGGGTGCCCCATCACTGAGAATGTCTGTTCACATACATAGGTAGATCCAAAGAGGACTAGAATCTTCTGAGCATGCCTCCGCATTTGTGGAAAGTTCTCCTTTTGAGGGAAGAGCTAAAGCGCTCTGCCAGAAGTGTGTCAGACTGCAGGAACATCCCTGGGTGAATTATCCACACTGCAGGTGGAGGGAGAAGAAACCATGTGCATTTCACTCTCAACTGTTTTAAAGTCTTGAAATCGCCGTGAAAACTCACCATGCAGTGCTTCTAATATGGCTGAGTACCTGTGATCGGCTGATGGCGTGGCTTCCTTCAGTGTTGGCAAGTGGGTGAGAATGTTGTCCTCTATTTGGCTTGAGAGAAGCTGCAACTTTCTCATGAAAGCCTTCAGTGCGCTGTACATTTCATGCACAAATTGCCCTTGCATTGCAGTTTGACATTTAGTTCATTCATTAGTGCAGTCACATCCACAGCAAAACCAAGGTCTGCCATCCAGTCTGCATCTGAAAGCTTGGGGATGTCATTTCCTTTCTTCACACAGAACTCATGAATCTCTTCTCTCAGGTTCCAGCTGATAGCTGTATGGTAGCTTATGTGGTAGCTTATGTCACTATGTTTAGTCTCCTTTTCCTCCAAAAGTGCAACAAACTGTGATTCAATGCGCTGGCCATGATGAAGTGAATTATTTTAGTTACAACATCAACAACATGGTTCATTTTTAACACTGACTTACGCAACACTTCCTGATGTATCATACAAAGTCAAAATGCCCATTTGTGTCACTTTGTCCTGCATTCTCTTTAGTCCAACATCATTTACCTCCGGGAACAAATCACTCCCAGTGGTTGTCCCTTTCATTGACTGCATGGCTGCCAGCTCCTCCGTGATTTTAAAGTCTGTAGTTATCCCACGTAATAAGATGAGTAACTGGGCAGTGTCACGTACATCGCAGCTCTCATCCAAAGCCAGGGAAAAATAGTCAAAGTTGACCGTTCTGTTCTTCAGCTGAAGCTCCAGATTTCCTGCGATGTCCTCAACCCTCCTTGTTACAGTACGTTGGGAGAGGGGCACACACACACACACACACACACACACACACACACACACACACGCACACACACACCCTCACACACACACACACACACACACACACACACACACACACACACTCACACACACACACACACACACACACACTCACACACACTCACACAATGACTAACAGCCGTTTAGCTTGAGGGTTGATTCGAGGAGGGGGAGGGGGGGTCGTTCACCAGGGAGCGTGCTCAGACTGTTGTTGTTCATTGGTTATAGGTCCCCCAGGTGCACTCTGGGTAACGATCCAGCAGTGTTAGTGTGTTAATGAGGTCTAATCCTGCCTCAGAGCCTCAGAGAGATAAACAGCAGAGACTGCTCTTAATAATTAATACACACATCAATATCCACCGATCAACATTATATAGACTGATATATTGATCACTAACAGTATATACACTGATCGCCCGGTTAGCTCAGTTGGTAGAGCTGGCAACCCATGTACAGATAGTGTGATAGTTTATAGACTGTGGTCTGCAGAGGTCAATGAAAGTTAAAAGATGTCTTCATTAACTTTATATTATATTTAATCTATATGTAGTTTACAGTGTTGGTCACACTGTGGGTCAGCGCTGTGTACAGGCTGGCAGCCATTTTACTGAACACAAACAGATCAGTGATCACATGACACTCCTGATAACAACCTGTAGTAGTAACCTGCTACTACTACCAGGATAGTAACGTGATCGTTGGTGTTCGATCGCCGCCTCTTCCTCGGTCTCTGATCAATATCTCTATATTAGATAGATTATATATATATATATATATAATATATACTTTAAGCCTTTTACTGGTCACGAGGAACAGAAATGTTGGACCAACACAGACTGTGAGCTAGATCAGTGGGTCCCAACCTGTGGGTGGGGACCCTCACAGTATGTCTGTATGATGGAGCTGATCACTGCTCATATTATAGAGGAATAGCTCCACATGGTGGCAGCTTGTTACTACAGCAGTTTCCGCTCAGCTTCTTCTTCTGTGGTGTTTGTGAGGGTGATAAGTGTGTGTGTGTGTGTTGTGCAGCTGCTGGTGGACTCTGATAGGACAGGAGATCTGTACGGCAGCCTGTTGGTGGACCGCAGCAGTAGCGTCAGTGCTGACCTCCTATTGGACGACAGTCAGCAGCACGTTTATGTTTTAACCAACAGCCGGGTGAGTCTGTTTACTTTATTATTATTATTATCATTATTATTATTGTTGTTGTTATTAATAATAACAACAATAATATTATTATTAAGTTCTAACTGACTGACATGTGATCTGCATCCTGTCTGTCTCTCAGCTGTCGAAGGTTCCTGTGTCATCCTGTGAGAGACAGACAGACTGTCAGTCCTGTCTCGCTGTCAGGGACCCGTACTGTGGCTGGTGTGTCCTGGAGGGAAGGTAGGTCTGATGGGGCACTCCTGTGTTTTCCTTGTTATTGATCCTTTATTGGGACTTTGATCACAGCTGTCAGTCATTATTTTAAAATAAAGGTTGTTGTTTTTATTTGTTGTGTCCAGATGTTCCCGTAAACAGCTGTGTCAGCGCCACATGCAGCCCAACCATTGGCTCTGGAGCTTTGACCCGACCAATCAGTGTGTGACAGTGCAGAGTCTGCAGCCAGCCAATCACAGCAAAGACGAGCAGACACTGGTACTCGGTTTTTAAGAAAGTACTGATCATTGATCGTATTTTTATCGACTGCTGCTCTTTGTGGAAATCATTAATATAATAATAATAATAATAAAAGTAGTATCAGGAGGTGACTGTGGATAACGAAGGAGATTCGCTGATCAAATCACAAACAATTTATTACTGAATTAAAAAGACAAACCAACACTAAACAACAGAAATATTTGAAAACAAGCTGAGCGGAATATGATGGAAATATAATATACATATATATTATAATATATTATATATATATTTAATATATATTTAGATTAAATATTATAATATATATATTATGATATTTAATATAATAGGTCAATAGGATATAGAACTACAGAAAGCAGTCATGGCCCCTGAGAACCTCAGTATGTGACTCTGTCTCCTTTAAGGTAACGCTGTCAGTCATCCAGCTTCCCGCCCTCACTGAGATAGAGTCTCTGTCCTGCGTCTTCGGGCTCCTCCCACCTCAGCCCGCCACCGTCACAGGAACCAGCATCACCTGTCAGTCACCTGCACCGGAGCTCCTCCCATCCATGCTAACAGGAAGTGGTGAGTTGTGATGTTGTTTTGGATTCAGTCATGTTTCAGGATGTTGAGATTTTTTGACTTCCTGTGACAATATACCATCAACAAAACATCCCACAATAACCCAAGGCAGAGATTCAGGAGGCATGATTATATGGTGTAAATCAGAACTGAGCCAGTCCATCACAGTTATTAAAAAAGAAGAATCTTATATATATATAGTTGAAAATTAACAAAAAGATTATTTGTGCTGAGCAACATGTCTACATGTGTGCCATCTATATACCTCCATCAGAATCCCCCTACTACAACCCAGATATTTTCTCTATTCTTGAGGAGTAAATTACCATAATAAAACCATGGGAAATGTATTACTCTGTGGGGACTTGACTGACACTATGAACACCCAGGGAGACACTTACACTTACCTGGAAGCACCTGCTTCCCCCTCCCTGAATGTCCCACTAGAAAGAGCTTTGACAAGCTTACTAATTCAAGCGGTATGCAGCTTTTACAGCTCTGCTGTACACTGGGTCTGTACATAGTCAACGGCAGGCTACGAGGGGACTCGCTACACTTACAGCTCAGCTCTTGGCAGTAGTACGGTAGATTATTTCATTACAGATCTAGATCCAATGTCTCTCAGAGCTTTCACAGTCAGCCCCCTCACACCCCTCTCAGACCACAGCAAAATCACAATCTATCTGAAAAGGGCCCAGTCTAACTCTGGAGCCCCTAGTGCCTGTGAACTGTTTAACAGCACATACTCATACAGATGGACCCCTGACAGCATGGGGGCGTACCAAAAGGCACTGGAAAATCAAAACATATATGATTTAACTCATTTATTTCTAACTGAATCATTTCCCCACAATAATTCTGGTGTAAATTCTGCTGTGGACAAAATCAATTCAATTTTTCCTCATTTGGCTCTATTGTCTAATTTGAAAGCCTCCAAACCAAAATCTCAACAAATGAACAATAACAAATGGTTTGACACTGAATGCAAAAACCTAAGGAAAACTTTAAGGAAATTATCAAATGAAAAGCATAGAGACCCAGATAACCACAACATACGCTGTCAATATGAGGCCACTCTGAAACAATACAAGTACACCCTAAAAACAAGGAAAGAAAAACACAGCAAGAACCAGCTCTGTGAAATTGAGGAATCCCTCGAATCCTCATAATACTCAGACCATAAAATCAGATTGGCTATACTAAAACTATTCAATACTATTCTGTCAACTGGAGCTTTTCCAGACATCTGGAACAAAGGTTTAATAACCCCAGTTCATAAATCCGGAAATAAATATGATTCAAATAACTACAGAGGAATATGTGTCTCCAGTAACCTGGGAAAAATATTCTGCAACATCATTAATAAACGACTTGTCAACTTTCTTGATGACACAATATTCTGCATAAATGCCAGATTGGCTTCTTGCCAAATTGCCGCACAACGGACCATATATTTACCCTCCAGACTTTAATTGATCAAGAATTAAAAATTAAGAAAAGAAAGGTATATCCATGTTTCGTTGACTTCAAAAAAACCTTTGATTCCATCTGGCACGAGGGCCTTTTCTATAGGCTACTTGAAAGTGGCATTGGAGGAAAAACATATGATCTGATTAAGAACATGTATACAAAAAGTGAATGTGCCGTAAAGATTGGAAACAAACAAACAGCGTTCTTCTCCCAGGGCTGGGGAGTGAGGCAGGGATGCAATCTCAGTCCAATTCTCTTCAATCTATATATCAATGAGTTAGCGAACCAACTAGAGCGTTCCACTGCACCTGGCCTCACCCTGAACGACACAGAGATCAGAGGTCTGCTATATGCAGATGACTTAGTGTTGCTCTCACCTAAGGCTGCTCAATTAATCAAAATTTTATCAAACGATCTCAACACTAATAAAATCGTGGGGGAAACGATTATTTTTTCATTTTCTGTTGTGAAACGTTGTATAGAAAAAAGCTGTGTCCCAATTCAGGGATGCAGCCCCAGTCTGCGTATTTCGAGCATGCGTATTTCCGTCCCTCCCCCACAGCATGCACTGCACATGAGTCATGCGCTCGGTATACTCGCTGTTCCCGACCTGTCGCGCGACAATGTGAAGTCAAGAGAGTGCCTTAACTATTTATACTTGCGCCGGTGGTCGCGACACTAGTTGCAGTCTACTCCTGTCACGTTGTTTTCGTTTGAACAGGTAACGCGGAGACTTACAAATGTTTATGGGGAAAGGAAAGTGTAACTGAGGACTTCCTTGCAAAGTGTTTTTGACAAATGTCCACTAAATGCAGCATGTTTCTGAAGTTTAAAAAAATAATCGTTTGAATAATCGTGATTTCAATTTTGACCCAAATAATTGTGATTATGATTTTTTCCATAATCGAGCAGCCCTACTCTCACCTACTAAAGACGGTTTGCAGCAGCACCTTAATCTCCTGCAGAGATTTTGTCAGACCTGGGCCCTGACAGTAAACACAGCAAAGACTAAGATAATGATCTTTCAGAAATGATACAGAAATCAGGTTACACACAATTTCTATTTAGACACCACTAAATTACAACATACAAAAAACTACACTTACCTTGGCCTCAACATTACATACACAGGAAACCTCAACATGGCTGTGAAAGATCTGAGGGACAAAGC